ACAAACTCTATAGCTAGTTCAAAGTAAAGAATTAAAGTTTACTAAAACAAATTCTAGACTATTGCAAAGCTAAAAATCTTAATCTAAGATTATATAAGATTAAAAGTTATAATACAATTTAGAAAATAATCTAGTAGACAAGCTTGTAAAGAAATATTTAAGTATATATGATATACTTAGCATATCTGAATTTATATCTAAAGATATTATATTCTATTTAAATAGAAAGAGTAAATTATAGATAGCTTTCTTAAATCTTTTATAAATATAACCTCTATAATTCTCTGTAGTCTACTATGAGACTAAGTAGTTTAAAATAAACAAAATAGTAGAATTTATCAACTCAAATAAAAAAAATCTTTGTATAAAGAAATCTTCTAAAATAATATCTAGCAGGTATTCAAAAAATAGCAAAGTAAAAATTATATTAGCTTAAAAAAAGCAAAGTATTTATGTTTTATATTAAGTATATAAATAATATTCTACTAACTAAAGACATATGTTTCTAAAAAACTTAACATTATACAAAAATTAAAGATACAAAGTCTGTTTAAAAAATACAAGTTACTATATCATATTGCAGAATATAAGATATATCTAAAGATTCAGAAAAACTTAAAAGAAGAAATATTGTAATTAACAGGTCTTAAAATAATAATGAAGCTAAATATATCTCTAAAAGATAAATCATTTAGAAATACTGTCTTTAAAAATAATACAAAAATACATATACAGAATAGAAAACTATTTTTTAAAGAACTCACAAGTTTTAAACAACAAAAAGAAATTATAAAATTAACTAATTCTAAAAAAAAAAGTAAACAAGGTTCTGATAATTTTTATAAAACAATTCTAAAAATATTTCTTTGAATAATTATAAAAATTTTACTGCAAGATTATAATTAAATAGAAAAAAAAAATAATATCTTAACAAAGGAAAAAAAGAATAAATAAAAAAGAAAAAAAACAAAGATAAATAAAAAAATATCAAACTATTAGTCTTAAAGAAAAAAACAAAAAAAAACAAAAAACTAATTATTCAAAAAGAAGCTTGTAAAAAAATTAACAAATAGATTACTTCTGATATAAAAGAAAAATAGTTATGATCTAAAACATTTAGAAAATTTTAATATGAGCTAGTAGTAATCTTTTAAAAACTGCAAATAAGTAAACTATATAATTAGTTTACTATTTTTATAAAAGAAATAAATACTATAACAAATTATATTTAGGCATCTTAAAACAGCTAAGTAAGCCTAAAATTAGTATAAAGAAAAGTAATTTAGTATAGATTATATAGTATTTTACCTTGTAGCTTAATTGAATAAACTTGAATCATATATTTGAGTTACCTTTTCAAATCAAAATTTGAATTATTTGAATTACATTAATTAAAAATTCATTAAAAATTTTTGTAAAGCTAAATAAAGTTAAATTTTTAATTGCAAAATATGAAAAAAATTTTTATGTATATTATAAAAGCAAATATTTCTAAGTTACAAAAGCAAAAATATTTTAAATTTATTATACAATTATTCATTATCTAAAAATATTATATTTAATAACTTCATATTCTTTTTTAAAAATAATATCTTATCTATCAATTCTGAATCAAAATTAGTTTATTTTGCAATAATATTGTTTTTGATATTAGAAAATAGATATTCTGAAGAAACTAAAATCACTATTATATATAAATATTGTTATACAATTTTTAACAGAACTAGAAATCATGTTTTTTTGAGATTCTACTACTAAAAAGAATCTGTATATCCTTTTTCTTATTCTAAAGATAAATATTTATTAATTTCATTATTATTATTATTAACTTTAGAATAAATCTAATAATATTGACTTCTATTTTTTTTGAATTCTACTAATTTCAAAATCTTTATTTTGATTATTAGACAAAATTATTAAGGATTATAAAACAATATCAACTTTATACTCTAATTCATATAATTTTTTTAATTACTTATTAGTTCTTAGAATTATATTTGCACTTATAAAATATAGCTTTTTAAAATATAGATTAAGTAAGCAAGCCAATATGTTAATATCTGAAACAGATTACTAATACTTATGCATACTATTATACAATATTTTTTTAACTTTTTTAAATATTCTAATTGTAATTGTTAGAACTAAGATATCAATTTTTTTATAAAAAATTCTTTGTGCAGAATTAAGTTTTTTAATTTTAACAAAATTTTTTGTATTATCTATAATCTCTTCTATAGATCAAGAACTATCAATTCATTCAAATCTGTTGAAGCTATTTTAATATAAGATTTTTGAGCTAATAATGACTTTAATATTTTAATTAATGCTAAAATTGCTAGATATATTAAAGAAATAGTTGCATAAGAATTTCTACTTAACAATCTTGTTATTTCTTTAAAACTATATAATATATCATTTAACTTATCTAAAAAATTCTATTTATTATTACTAAGTATAATATGTATTTATTGTTCACTATTCTTTTGTGTAATTATACTTTCTTTAGATTGAAGCATAACAGATAATATATTATTGCTCTTTTTAGCTAAAGTAATTTTTTCTATATATAATATGATAAATTCTATCATATAGTAATATCTCCAATTATTAATAATTATTTTTTAAATTCAAGACTTTTTTGTATAATAAGAAAATATTCTATTTGCTTTGGTAAATTATTAAAAAAATTAATTAACCTTTTTACATGTAAAACTAAATATTTAATTATATTTAATTCTTTTTTAACAGACAATTGAAGTATATAGGCTGCATAAAAAATTCTATTAAACTCTACTAAGTGTATAGCTTTTTTTATGTTCATTATATTGTTAGTAGTTATTGCTATTATCATATTAACTAAACCCCATTATATCAAATTATGATTTAACAATTTAGCAATAATTTTTTCTATATAAAGATATAGAATATGTTTTAAAACTAAAAAAGCTTCTTTAAATTTCTAAGATTCAGTAATCTAAGAATATGTAATTCTGATATATTCTTCATAATAATGACTTGTTCAAAAATCTATTGTTAAAGATATAACAACACTATGATTTTTTATCATATTTGCTAATTGTTGTTTAGTTCAAAAAAATACTTTACTAACTGAAGTTTTTATAATTTTATTACAAGGAATTAAAAAAATTTCATCAAGTAAATATAGTAAATTTTGAAACTTTAACATTCTACAATGCTAAATAGCTATGAATTATTGATAATAAATGAAATCAAATTTTGCTATATCAATTTATATTTATTTTCACTTCTAACAAAATAACATTTTATAATTTTATTAGATCAACTAGGATTATTATTTAATATTCTGTGTCTATGAGCAAGATAGTTAATTAGATTTGAAGTTATTAGTCTATCATTATATAAAACACCACATTCTTCTCTATTATCTATTATAACTTTACAAGTTGCAGTTATACTATTATCACTTTTATGAAAATAGTTCCAAACAAAGCTTCTAGATCTACCTTTAGATTTGTAGATAGTTATGCTTTGACTATTTTCTTTATAGGATTCTTCCTAGTCATAATTATCACTCTCGTCTTGTACCATTTAGTATATATATATTTGTCTTTAAGATCTCTTAAATTTCAGATTTATTTTTATTAAAAATTTAATAAAATGATATAACAAATAAACACTAATAAAAATTTTATTAATCACATAATGTCATTATATTAAATTTTCATCATTACAATTTATTACGTATAATATACATAAATCATATAAATTTCATTTCATGTAAATTCATCAATTTCATAATTATTACAAATTTCTAATGTATGTGATACGTAATTGTTACACTGGTAATTATCTTGCGAGTAACTCGCGAGTTTCGAATTAATGATTCGAACCGTGATTTACTCGAGTTATTCGAGTCACGAGCAGTGATGTAAATTGGGTTCGCGCAGTAGGCGCAGCGTACATAGATCTAAATTTGCGCGTATATCAGCGCTCTCCGTATATATAGTGCGCGTATAAATTTTTTTTTTTTTGTACACATTTTTTTGCATTTGCGGTCTCTACTCTAGCCATTCATTGAAATCATCTTAGTAGGAAAAAAAAAAAAAAAAAAAAAGACAAAACAAAACAAATCACGTTATTGTAGTGAAATTGTTATAGTAATCTTGCATTTCGAGAATAAGTCACAACATGAAGTCAGACCACTAAAAAAATTGCATTTAGAAAAAGTTGATTGAATTTTATTATTTATTATTATTATTACTAGATATATGTAAATAACTCTTGCTATTAACAAAAAAACTCGCTATGAACGAAAGGATTTTAGCAAATTTACTGATAGAGAATATTATATAAATTTGTTTGTGCATAAAATTACTACTTCACTATATCACGGTGCGTTATTGTTTACATCAAATTGGTCGACAAGAACAAAAAATCCCCTATCCGATTTTTTTTTTAGTGATCAGCTAGGGTCACTACTTTTGCCTTTAAAAATCGGTTAATATATATATATATGTATTGCATCAAACAAAACAAAAGTGTAAATAAATAATTACCTCTTTAAATTGACAAATTTTATCAGCCAATATATGACAATTATTAAATCTAGCAATCCTTATTGCTGCCTCCAAAGATTTTAATGTAACTAATAGTTTCGCTAAATCTAATGCGCGTTGTTGTTTCTCTTCCTTACAGGCCAGCTAAAATTTGAATAAATTGAAAATTTTAATTTCATAAAATATATATATATATATATATATGTGTATATAGTATATAATACCAACATGTATCATTTCCAATAAAGCTTTATC